AAAAAAAAAAAAAAATAAAATAAAATAAAAAAAAATAAAAATTGAGTGCTTTGTTTATTGGAAAGAGTAGATAAAACTTTCTTCCAGTATTTTTTTTTTATTTTAAAGATATATATTGGTAACAACTTCAACCAAATGGCTATGTCTATAAAATATTCACAAAGAGAAAAAATGAACTAGAAGGTAACATGGAGATTCCACTTTCAAAAAGCTCAAAAATTTTGCATCAACTCAATCATCAATAGCTTTTATAAGAAAAAGCATGATATAAATTGGTTATTTTTTTCTAAAATTTTAAAAAATTAATAATGAAGATCAATACTTCATTTCAGAATGCATTGATTTTAACAGTAACTTACTTTGCGGCTTTCTTCTCTTCTTTACTTTTCTTTTTGTACGTTATGTGCAAGATTTTACCGGCAGGAAAGAGTCGAGATTTTGAGAACCTCCTGTGAGCAATATCCTGAAACATGTCAAGAAAATGCAAAACATAAAGTGACATGAACTTTTATGAGATATTGTAGACATTTTAAAAATTGCAGTGAAGTTTACGATTAAAATAAAAGTTGAGAGGGGTCCACTGATTCAATGAATATAAAGTACCGAGAGAAAATGAACTTATGTTGCATTCCATGAAAACATATGAGGGGGGAGGGAGACTGTTAATTTAAAGTTATGTGGGTTTTAATAAAACTTCGTTTTACTAATTTTATTTCTTCCTCTCTTTTTTGTGACTGGAAACAATGGGATTCAAATTCGGAGGATTATTAGATATCTTCTGATTCAGGAATAGTTGAGGATTCAGGTACGAAAAAGGAACTTTTTAGTTGCACTGTTTCAGAATTGCATAAAAATACCAAATCATTAAACTTGAGATTTGTGCTGAGGATATCATTAAAATTATGTGGAATATATTCAATTAAATTTCAATTTTTCTATAAGAATTTTTTCCCCCCTAATATGAGTAAAAGTTAAAAAAAGAAATATTAAAACACTGAGACTGAAAAGTAACATTTTTGCTTTTGCTCTAGATTGTTACATTTAGAATCTGACTTCATGGCCATTTACTGATCCTTAAATAAAAGTGATGATGAAATATCTTTAAATGATATCCCCTTCATGGGAATGATGAAAGGGATAACTTTGAAGAGCTGCCACAGGAGTCATAAAGAAATGAGGCTGTGTCAAATCCTAGAGGGGCTGTAGAAGGATAAGGGATTTTGGGGGTTCTGTGTCACAAAGCACAAGGAAGCACTGTGAAAACGACTCGGCTGTGTATATATACGTATGATTTAATGTTAGAGTTGAATTCTCTTTGAAATACTCATTTAGCACTTTGTAGTGTCAGGAACACCTACAGGGAAGCAAATATTTGAGACAAAACTAGTGTATTGAGTGCTCACATTTGCTGTAGGTACGACCACTTCGATGATAGAGCTTTTGGATAGTAATGGTGAACTTCTTTGGTTAGCTGGTGTCCTCAGTCGATCAGCACGCCATGTGGATTCAAGATCTCGCGATGGAACGCCGAATAAAGCATATCCAAAACCATTCAAGTACACTCGATACTGAAAAATAATAACGAAAAGAGAATTGAAGAGTTTGCTCATGAAATGGCGTATTATAAAATTGTTTGTTGCTTTGAAAATCAATTGTACAACATCAACACATCTTTGGAAATACACATTCATGTTTTCATATTGATTCAATGCTCCTGTGTGGTATTACAGGCCAAAATAGGCAAGTTCACTCTCTTAAAGCTTCAAATGAGTTTTTCTCAAAACACATTTTTTTCAAAGACACCCTTGTGTGGGCAGACTCTTTATGTTTTCGTCAATAAAAACCTGGCCAGGAAAGAGGAGGAATAGAGTCAATCAGAAGAAGTTCTGTAGTTTCATTCCATGCCACTTACACCCGATACCATTTCACCATGAAATATTACTTCAACTCTCTGATTAGTACTTTTTTTTCTTTTCAATTTTTTTTAAAACCTTCATTCAATTTTCACACGGATCATTTTTCATACTGCTGAATTCTGGAGCAGAACTAGCGAACGCAATTGAGGCATTTATTCCAAAAAGGTACTGACTGGAATTTTTAAAAAATTAATTTTACTACAAAAAACTAATTCTCTAGAAAAATTATATTTAAACCAAGTTTAACAGAATCACAAAATAGCATCAAGTTTCAATCGCAAGAAAGAGACATGTAGGACAAAGTTTAATGACTGTTCTTGTGTACAAAATATTATTTCTAAATTTTACATTATTGACAGGAAAAAAACCCCAGCCCAGGTGGGGGCTTGCTGGCTTACCGTATATTTTAATGAAACTTTGATAGGTTAAAATAAAATTCATCTTTCCGGCAAAGCCAAAAAATTAGGTACTAGGGTCGGAAAGAAGCCGAAATATTCACGATTGAACATGCGACTTGTTTTGGATTTTCCTGCGCACCTCACGTGCAGTTAGGTGCCTATAGGCTTGGTTGGAAAAAACACTATGCCCTTACCATCCACTCTTGTCTGTCAACAAGTGAGAAAATAAATTAATACAAACCATGTACCTCCTGTAAAAAATTTTCCTCTAAAATTGAATTAAAGGGATAGAAAGAAATCAATACAGAGCTATGCTTTCCTTTCATACCTTATTACCCACAGTTGGTGGAAAAGAGGAACGATTTTACTCAATTACTATAATATACGAGGTCTGTTAGATTAGAAACCGGATTTTTGTCATAACTAGCCTACAATGCGTCC